TCTATGTACGACTGTTGATAAGAACTTGGAATACATCTTTACCTGTATATACTGTTATATTTATTTACTACTGTACGGATCTATGTACGACTGTTGGTAAGAACTTGGAATACATCTTTAACTGTATATACTGTTATATTTATTTAATACTGTACGGATCTATATACGAATGTTGGTAAGAACTTGGAATACATCTTTAATTGTATTTACTATTGTCTTTATTTACTACTGTACGGATCTATGTACGACTGTTGGTAAGAACTTGGAATACATCTTTAACTGTATTTACTATTGTCTTTATTTACTACTGTACGGATCTATGTACGACTGTTGGTAAGAACTTGGAATACATCTCAACGCACACCACCCGCGCACTATGCATCCGACCCAGTAATGCATAAACAACTTGAGAAACCCGATTTCGTCAAATCTCGCAAACATAAACAGTATTATTTTAGCTTTCATCGAGAAAAAATTTAAACAGCATTTGGGAATCCTCAATAATAAAATTACTCAAAACATTAATAATTGTGTCACAGACGCAGTAACTACCACTATATCCCAACATTTGGCATTAATGACTAGTTCTTTGGAGAGTTTAAATAGCAAAATTTCTACCGACAGTATAAAAATAAATAAATCTTGAAATGAGTGAGCGAATAAAGGAGACAGAAAAATAAATACAATATTAGTTAGAAACTGAAAAAGATTTAGAGAAGTGCGTAAAAACTATTGAGGGCACTGTTTCCTATATTTCTTCTTTGCAGAAGCAGGTATTAGAGGTAGAGAATATAATATCGGCAATGGAATAGCAGGCTGGAACGTGTAATATTAAGATATCTAATCTCCAAGAGAAGGGGCGAAAATCTACTGCATATCATAGAATGTATCCCCAATGAAATAAAACACCGCATTTAGACTTTGGAAATAGTGTGTGTGAAGTTTGCGACGCGTATATTCCGTAATAACTTTATCTCAGCTTATCGTGCCGTTGGTGGTTTGAAATCCACACAGATATCGCTCTCTGGTTCTCCACAAATTATATATATAAACGAACATTTAACTTTGAAAAAACAAGCACTTATTTCAACAAAGCCGAGATGCAGCTAAAAAATCTGTATATAATAAGTACGTGTGAGTTAAACATGGTACTGGCTGAAAAAAAGATACCTCCCCTGTCATCGCCATACGTTCGCTGCACGATCTCAATAAATTTAACTAGCGTATTAGTCACTATTAGTTATGTGATGCATAAGTATACTTAAGCTTTGTAGCCGCTTTTCTTATCAGGCGGACTACTCACCGGCTGACCCAGTGGAGAGATTCACAAGATTACCTCAGGGCGCCTTTTATTAAACAGAAGTGTGTGCGTGTGGGATACCTACGGGACCCCTTAGAGAAAGACAACTTACACCTCAGTCATACATACATGTATATTTTAATAAAAAAAAATCAGTTACAATAAAAAATAGTGCGCGCGTCAGAGCCGAGCTGATGCTGCTCGGAGCCTCCTCGTCTTCAATCCAGGAGGTCACTTCCCCTTCCGCCCGAGTCGGCCACTTATATTAGGTATAAAGGAAGGTTCACTATTGATATTAATAAAGTTAACGAGAAGTACGTAACCCTTGAGTACGGCTGTCCGCTTGCTTGGTGAGCCGCGTGACTGCCAGTTTGCCAGAGGGTACCAAGAAACTTGATTTCGCACCAGAAGGCCACAAATGAAAAAGCACGCCGTCTGAGACTGACCGTCTTGACCCGAAATCTGGGACCCTACGAATGGATTAGCACTCATGTAATCGATCAGGTTCCAGAAACAAATAAGTACAAGAAAATTATGAATATACTCACCACTGGCGTGGGTACTTCGAACAGATAAAATATTACTAAGATGAAATCACCAGACAAACAAAATACTATTTAAGATCGAAAGACAAGAATTAGTAGAGTGTCCCCTGTGGCTGAAAGCCGGACTTATATATGTTCGGTTCGTGAAGTTTCCAAAAAGAATCCCTACTTCAATATTTTAAACTGTCACTCAAATTATTATCTAGGTTAACACGAACTAAATCAAAAGTAACTCGCTTCCTACCATAACAAGACACTATTAACACCAATACAATTTGCCAGGATAAATTAATCCAATGACTTACCTATAAAACAACGCCATCTAGTGGTCCGATGGCGGACGAAGAACATCAATACTATGGCTACAAACTACTTTGGATAAATCAAGAAATGCGACGCGGGGCAATAGATGTCGCTGTTAACAACTCCGTACGCAATACAAATATACTAAAAAAATAACTGTTACAGCTTGTACTGCAAAGGTTTTTTCTTATCATTATTTCTACTGTTGTGTTGTTATGAGTGGGTATATTGTACATAAAATAGTCAGGTTTCGCCGCCCCGAAGATGCGGCAGCGAGAGAGGCGGAGCTGTTAGCGGAATACAGGGTTGATAAGATTACCCTTCAGCAGGCAGCAATAAAGCCGACCAAGAGTGAGGGACACTGGAGCGGGATCCGTGGGGACGCCTCTACCGTATGGTTAGGTGAGGTTACCGCCTACCCGGTGTCTTCAGCCAGAGCTGCTTGAGGGGGTCGTCGGGTCCCTGTTCCCATCGGGTGTGGTGGAGCATACTGCACCACAGATGGCTCCGTCTCCGGGGCTTGGGGCGCGTAATGTAGATGACGACAGCTCAAGCGATAAGCGATAAGCTTAAAGCTAAAACACCGCCCTGCCACCACATGCCCCGAGCGGGGCCAGTTTCCGAAATTGCGGAAAACGGGCGCCTCGTCAAGCATCTCGTCATAGTAGGGCCGGATCTGGCGGACAACCAGAATCAGGAAGTCTGCAGTTAATCAGAAGTTAATTCGGCATCTACTTTTGAAGCAGTTATCGACGAGTACTTGGTACACTTAGTTGATTGTTCACTCCGGTTATCAGTCTATTGGCTGTATTTAATGAACTAATAATAATTTCTAATCATAACCTTATCATGAGGTCACTTGTTTACATATCAGTTACGTAAGATATAATTAAATGCATTTGCAAAAATGTTTTGGTACTCATTAATTTATCATTTTTGTATAAAAACTCATATTAAATATCTGACATAACTACATGAAAAAACTTTATCAATTAATTTAAGTTACAGTCCCATTAGAAACTATTTCTCTTGTAAAACGTCTATTATACTAAAGAGGATTAAAATTGGATGCTTGTGAAACCCTTTATAGATTATAGTGTTTACATTGTAATAGGTTACAGGGCTATTCACGTGAACTAAGCCCTTTAGGGTAGATAGAATATATATATCTAGTTTTGATGGTTTTAGAATTCTGTATGCACGAATATATAGTCATATCCCGTACCATACATTTACGATACGGTAAATGACTATACGCCTACTGACTACTGAGGCCTGTGCGAGTTTATTTTACATCAACTCGCTCTCGACAGCGAGCGAGTTCGGCGTTGCGAATGGTGAAGATTTTAGCGCGACCCAATCACAGCGCCAAACGCGGTCACCGTGACAATCGAGTTGATGTGAAATAAACTTACACTAGGCCCTCTGAACTGGGGTTTTGTCACTACGAGCGTTTGTCAATAGGACGGTTTGATCGTTGACACTTTGTTTACCAGCCCTGCAACGTCATAAAGAAGGTGGCGACGTTATTCGATCACAGATTAGATTAGTAACAAAAAAGTATTAAGATCTAAAGCATTTCAGGGTTTTCAATGCCGAATAACTTTTTGAACAGTTAACAAAATATAATTGACGATTGTGTAAATAATTCGTATTGGTACGAATTGCAACCGGCACAGTAATTTTGCTACGTACTAAGAGGAGTATGACTATGTACAAGTATATGTGACTTCCTTACTTGTTACTTTTTCAGTCTTAATGATCTGACAGAATAATCATCTAAAAAGCAAAAGTAAATTATAGTAAAAAAAACTAAAAACCCGCTTTTGTAACTAGCCGATCTAAAAAATAGAAAATAATTTTCTATAAGTTCAAAAAGAACAATCTTTTAATCGTAAAAAAGCCTGTGGTGCTTTTCAAGATATTTTATAATATGATAACTTTATTTTTACCAATTTTTACCTTTATTTGTCAAGAAAACATTTTTACAACAATTGAGATCTACCACCCCATTTACAAAAGCGTGTTTTTTATTTTTTAAACTATAATTTATTAAACAAAATTTAACATCTAAAAATTTGTTTGTAGGTTATGCAACATGCTTATTTTAATTAATATTTCTGTACATAATACATTGATAAAAAATGTATGACCTCTTTCTAAGTATAATATAAATATTTTTAAAGGCAACTTTCAATTTTTTTTGTAGGCGTCAACAAATTAGTATACAATTTGTTGACGCCTACAAAAAAGTTTACAAAAATGACAGCGATAATCTAATCAATTCTAATTTAGTAAATCGATAAAGTGACTGGTAACTTCGGCAACCGTGTGCATACTTGCTGGGAATGTAGTCCTTGGGCCGCGGCCCGCCGGCATGATCACCTCGCCTGGTCGAAATATCCTCTCTTTATGTTGGAGGGACATGAGACCCGTTCCTCCACAGTCTATTTATTATAGCACCTAATGTCTTCATTACGTAACATTATTTATTGTTATTTTAGCATTCTATTTTTAGGACACAATGTGTAACTTCAAAATTTATTTAAATCCCTACATTTTGTAAACAATAATTTAATTTGACGCATGATCAAGCACGAGAAATATGTTTATTAATGAAATTTATTATTAATAAATTTTACTCATAATTAGATGCAGTGTACAAGATTTACTATCCCGGATATTTATATACAAAACTGATTTAGATTTTAGTAGTGACTTTACATTTATAATATCTTACACGTTACACGTGAAGATGTCACAGAAAAAAAAAATGACTTTAGTACAATGTTGGTTTGCAGCGCAGCGTGTTGTGTGTGTTAGAGCAGTTTCGTTTAATTAATAAATTAAAAATGGTTCGTGTTCTACAAACTTTGAATTGTACTAAGGTTCAAAAAACTGTGAAATATTCTTTTGATTAAGATTATGTTTTTTTTCAGGATACTTTAAATTTTATATTGCTTTTCTTGGCTACTGCAGCAAGTTATTGTGAGTCCGCAAATATCTTATATGTGGTGCCTTTTACATCAAAATCTCATTATATCATGTTAAGACCCATTGGATTAGAATTGGCCCGAAGGGGTCATAATGTTACAGTCATCACCGGGAACAGAGAATCTGATCCTCCTCCAAATTATCGACAAGTAATGATTGACAAGAAAGAAATTTGGGACATCCTCGGTAAGATTACTATAATATTTTTTATTTTGATATATTTCGATATTTGTATGTGAGTATGAATAACATTGATATATTTAGAATTTATCAAAGTTACTTAAACGGTTTATTTTTGTGATTGTAATCAATCAGTAATAATTTGAAATTTTATTATTACGTGTTTTTCGTCAGTAAGTAAGTAGGAAATAAGAAATACATTATGTATATGCTCTGCACACTATTATTTAACATATATGTAAATAATAATGTAGGTTTTAAAAATATTTTTTCTTAAAATTAATTTCTATATTGCTTCTCTTGTTATCGTAATCAGTATTTATGTAACCTTTTTAAATAGTCAAATACCGTATTTGTGTTGCTTTACTTCAAACTCGGATAAATCCACTTGACCTTCAGAGGAGATATCGAAAAAAGAGTGATAATTATCTTAATTCGATGATTTGAAAGTCAGTCTTTTATTATTATGGCCATAGTATTAAAGAAAATGATTCTGTTCAGATTTTTTTTATGAAAACCACCAATTGTTTAGGAAAATTAATTGGATTTACCTTCATTTGATATAATTGCATGCGATTTATATATCTTTGAAAAAACTCAGTGTGGATTTATAGGACTTTGATTTAACGGATCTATATCTAGCTAGATTTAAAAAAATATGAATATAACTAATCATGTGGTAGTGATGAAATCACGGAATACCATCAAATGTAAAATTTGTGATAGCTAACTTAATATAACATAAAAAAATACTGACCAAATGGGGAAATTTAGTTAAAAAAAAGAGTATCTTTTTTCATTTTTTTTTATTAAAATCAAACTCTTTAAATGTTTATCTTCATATTTTTTCATACCGGGTGCTTTAGGTATATGAAAATCGATTGTTAACGAGTAAACTCCGAAAAAATAAAATTGCAAAACATAACCAGGAGGCCAACTTCACAAGGCACTAATATTTTATTATAAACAATGAAATATGTTCGAAATATTCAAAATATAAAACAAATATGTTCGGACAGTTCATGTAATATTTAATAATATTAAATTTATACATACTTTTTACACCCAAATTATTCTGTTACAGTAGAACAACAAAAATATTAAATATTAATATTAAAATTTTCGATGTATCCTCTTTCTTACGGCCGACTTTTATATCAGGCTGTTCGCGGGCTTTGTTTGGTGGCACATTTTTAATGGAATTATCCATTGGAACCCGCTAGTTTTAAAAAACAAGTAATAACAAGCGAGAGAGTACTGTGCTATTGTCGCAGAGTTTACGTCAACTGACGGCCATGTTGAACAAAAGCAATTCGCTGATTGGCTCGGATGGACTCACCTACAATTGAAAAAAACTGCCTAATGGATCTCTCTGATTTTGATAAAATATTTTGACTTTAAAGGTTTTTTTTTCAAACACCTTTCGTATGAATAGACAACTAAGAAAAATGTTTTAAAGCTTGTTTTTTACCTTTTCTTTTGATACCAAAATCTTGAAAATTCTCAGAATTGGATTTTATGAGTATGAAGTTAAGCGACTCATTTAGGTATTACGATTTTGAAATTGAAAACCTTAAGAAGTATTGTTGATTATACTGAAAGGCTATTTAAACAAGAAGGCTCTAAAACTATAAATAACTGCTTGATCAATCTTCTAGGAGGCGGGAGACCAAATGTCTTTGAGATGGTAGAAATATCGGCAGAATCATTTCACAAGCTGATTTTTTGGGGAGGAGGTCTTGCGTTTACAGAAATGACGCTAAATTCAACTGAAGTGCGTGCTTTTCTAGCAGAAGATAATAAATTTGATATTGTAATTTCTGAACAGTTCTTCCAAGAAGCCATGTATGTTTTAGCATATAAGTACAACGCTCCTTTAGTATTGGTGACGACATTCGGCAATTGTATGAGACACAACATTGCAACAAGGAATCCGCTTCAGTTGGCTACTGTTATTTCTGAATTTTTGGACCTAAGAGAACCGACAAGTTTCATAGCTAGATTAAGAAATTTTTACTTTACTATTTACGAGTATTTTAATTGGAGATTTATTTATTTGGAACAACAGGAAAAACTTGTCACGACTTACTTACCAGATTTACCAAAACCAGTGCCCAGTTTATATGAATTGCAACGAAATGCTTCTTTGTTGTTGATCAATGGACATTTTAGTTTTGACCCACCTACAGCATACCTTCCTAATGTAGTAGAAGTTGGAGGACTACATTTGTCTAAAAGCGATGGTCAACTACCAGATGTAAGTATTTTCTGTTAATTAGAACGCTCAATTACTTAATACTCGCCTTACTGCGGTCTTACTACGGCTCTTACCTAATTATAATTAAGACTGTTGCTCAAGTTGTTAGAGATTCTGACTGCTACGTCAGGGGTCGTAGGTTCGATTCCCATCCAGGACAGATAATTGCGTGATGAGTACAATTATTTGCACTGTGTCTGGATGTAATTTATCTATAATATGTATGTACTTAAAAATATATGTATGTTTAGCAGCAGTTTGGTTACTTATAGGCTTCGCCTAGTTTGGGATCAGACGACCATGTATGAAATGTGTTCTCACTTTCTTACAATTTAATTGAATACTATTTCTGTTGTTCTTACAATTAATATTTTATAACTATTTAATAAATCATATTCTACATTTGAGCTCGATCTGAAAAGTATTTGAATGTTGCATATTGCTATTTTCGTAGTGTAATATCGTACTTTAGTGCTGCAGAAGAGGGTTTTCTGAGAAATTTATAACCTGGCTATTGTAATAAACTATGAATAAAATATGATCAGTAGACATAGTTTAAAAAAAATGCTGTACCCAATTGAAATGCTATAGCCAATTGAACTGCTCTTGCAAATTCACGTTACCTTCATAATGATAATAGATAATTAAAGACAATATAATTTTTATCATTGAACTGCTTTCTTTAATTTCAACAACGCAAGAACACGTTTTTAAATGTAGTTTTCGATTGAAAGTTTCTCATGCGTTTTTTGTAGTTGTCGATCTTGTAAAACTAGTGCGTATCTATGCCCGGGTGGGGTTCGGTAAAACTATAGGGATAGGTAAACTAATAGTAGGTAAAATGTTTACACCTGACGTGGAATATTTTTTTCTCTTCTTTTTCAAGTCCGTTCATGCTTGTTAAATATATAACTGGCAGCCAAAGGTAAATCATGTAAATATCAGAAGCCCGCGTTGGATATTCTTTGTTGTCACTTCTTTGTGTGTATATAACAATCTGTATAAATAAGTATATATAAATTAGCCGTTAATAATACAATTTTGTAAAACTGAGTAGATACATTGTTACATGAAATAACATTCAGAGTAGTATTACAGTTCTTAATTTCACTTTATTACTCGGCTATCAATTCAGATGACTTGCAGTATATTTAATAATGGTCCGTCTATATGTCCAGTACCTCCTAAGTAGTGTATTATGGTCACGTTCAAGGATAAACTCATATACTGTCAAAGGTTATCTATCATATTACCTCTAATTGTATACTAAATACCTACGACAATTTTTGTTATGTATTTTGCTTAAAATGATTTTGCTTTGAACTGACCAAAAATAGTTCATCACCATCATCATCAACAGCCTCTAATATTCCACTACTGGACATAGGTCTCTCCTTAAAAATATGTTTTGGCCTACTATACTACTCCGGCCCGACAGGTTGGTATAGAGTTTGTTTCAAGTTTTCCTTCTCTTTGTAGTGCTGCTCCCTTAGTCGACTTTTACGTCACCCACGGGATGAATAGGGTTGGTGTCACTCACACAATAGTACGTGTAAGTACAGTTGAACTTATGTAAATGTTCGCTAAAATAGTAAAAAATCTCAAACGTTAAAAAATAGTTAACAAAACACAGCATAACAAATAACTTGGATCCATCTAAATGTGTTCATGATAACTCTTCGTTTTAAACGTTATCTTATGGAAACATCGCTAAGTTCGCCGAGCCGCATACGGTCAAGGTCCATTCATCATGTAAGAAATCACACGTGAACAATAACACACACAACGTAATATATTATGTAGTCTGAATAGTAATTTGTAGAAGTGATTTTGTTCTATTTTCCCTTTCAAGACTATTTCTCTGAAGTCACGCAAACGAAACTCGCATAACGAAGTTTACCGAAGAAATAGCAATAATCTTTGGAGAAAGATATAAGCTACTCTTTGAGATTAACATTTAGAAAACTCCTGGCTCAGGCTTTTGTACTCTAGGTTCCTAATATAAATATAAATCCTTGAGACCAATGAAATCTAGTGTGAGTAAATCGACTGAAAGGTTGAATGGTTTACAGCTGTCACGACGTTCAATCTAAAGTGATCATCTCAATAAAGGATTTAAATTGGTAGATGGGCCTAGACGTTTCAAAATTATGTGTTTCTGTATATAAAGCACTTGCAAAAGGTGCTACATTTTAGCTAATTTTTGCGTGCTGTAAGCTTTTATAGTAAAAATAATAATTATGCTACTAGGATTCAAGTAGTAGTTTGGTATTCATGAGGGGCTAAAGCAGTTTTAGTGAGATCATTTAAGAAGGCTTGAGGCAAGTAGGATGAAGCCATGTCTGTGATTTATATATAGGTATTTGTGGTTTCAATACGAGTCGTTTTGTGATAAGGTAGTCCCCCCTTTAATCAATATGAGAAAAACTTTAAATATATTTTACTTAAGTTTTTGGGCAGTTCAAAAGATTTGCCGATTATGTCCAGGATTTCGTATAACTGAGAAGTTTTATTACCTTTATTAGTTAAAATTATGTAGTAAAATTACATTTTATTTCATCTTTTATCCAGGACCTCCAAAAAGCTTTGGACAATGCCAAGCATGGAGCGATATACATGAACTTTGGTTCCAACGTGCGCAGTTCAGAATTGCCAGGTGACAAAAGGAATGCGATCCTTAACGTGTTCAGGAAACTTAATCAGGTTGTGTTGTGGAAGTGGGAAGAGGACAACTTGGAGAACAAACCTGACAATCTCATTATTAGAAAATGGTTACCACAAAAGGAAATTCTTTGTAAGTGACGATTTTCAAGCAATATGAATTGTATATCCATATCCCAGTCAGCTCAATCGGAGTGATAATACGGCCTCACAGAAAACTGTTTTTAAGCAATTCTTTCGTTGCTTTCCAGTGTGTTGGCAGTCATTTACCATCGAATTGCTCGTCTGCTTGTTTGCCCCTTGTTCCATAAAAAAACTTGATCTTCTTAGTTCAGTTAAGGACAGTTTTAACTTGCGTTTTCAACAATTTTACTCTTATAAGTTATTCTGAACACATTTAATTTTCCTTTTCCTTATATTTTCAGGTGGTTTTAAACCCATACCAAGGCCTAAATATTTTCCTTAATCATCAATTTGTATATTTTATGTGTATTTTTTTTTGTAGCTCATCCGAATATAAAAGTATTTATATCCCACGGTGGCTTGATAGGGACACAAGAAGCAATCTTCAATGGAGTTCCGATAATTGGCATTCCAATTTATGCCGATCAGTATAACAATTTGTTACAAGCTCAATACCTCGGCTTCGGAAAAATTCTAGAGTATCACGACATCAATGAGGAAAGTTTGGGTAAATTTTTGAACGAAGTGCTTGCCGATGAATCCTATAGAGAAAAAGCTAAGGCTATGTCGGTAAGGTTTAAAGATAGACCAATGAGTGCTTTAGATACAGCTATGTATTGGATTGAATATGTTATAAGGAATAATGGTGCTCATTACCTAAAAAATCCTGCTTTAGAGTTAAGCTGGGTTGCCTACAGTATGCTTGATGTTTACGCATTTGTGTTAGTGGTTACACTGATAACTATATACATAGTATACAAAGTAATTATAATTTTAATGAGTTATGTCAAGAAGAGGGAACCGAAACAGAAAATCAAGAAAAATTAAAAAGTGTTGTTGCTTACAATATTTAAAAACAATGGTTTGAATGTGAATAAAAGCCTCGACATTTAAACAATTATAATATTATTAACGTTGCAACATGTTGAGCATGTTCACTCATTAAGATGTAAGTCTGTAACATGCTTGTAATTTTTTGTTTTCGTTTTATCTTACTTGTGTAGATAATTCGCATGTCTTTTAATAGCCAAATCGTTATGTAATTGGGTCATACTCAGAAAAAATGTACATTTGCCATTTGTTAATAAACTGATAAGTAACGAAATGGAGAATCAATGTGCCGAAACTGATATTGTAAAGCAGGGTACATACTGAACAGAACACGCATAATTAATCTAAATAAAAACATAATATCTCAGAAATCTAAATCAGGCTCATCCTACCTGACGGGAATAAGTGAATATTCCAACGATACGAATATATCATTAAGACTAAAGAACCCTAAGCCTTTTTAGTTGTTTAGTTAAGTTAGTGTGACGTAGTGCAGTGAGTGCTACTCTTGAAGAACAAGTAAAAAGTGTATTTTCATTGGAGTGGGAACCATAAGAAAAGTACCAATGGACGCACTCTTTAAGTATATTATAATTTTTTAGCTAATAAATATAAATTACTCATTACGCCTAAAGGCTTGATTGCAATTATTATGGGGGACCATCCAGCTATAAAATATTGAAAAAAAACTCAATTGTATGAATCAGTATGTACGAGTATAATATGCAATTGTAGGTTTAGTAGTAGTTACAAATTAAATTAAATTATAGTTTTCTCGTTAAATTACAAATTATTAAAAAATATCCTAAATACTTGACAACTCTGCACAAGTACTCACACAAATAGTAAAATAATAAGTCAATCATATTTTTTTTAGTTCAACAGAAATATATTGTTACGTTCGGGAATCAAGCCCGTCATTTTCATTGTACCACGATTACACTTCTGTTCCCCTCAATTAATGTAATAAAATTTTAACAGATAATAATTAATTTTTCAAATTAGAGTAACTTCGTAAACTCAGCTTTACAATTTCTCAGTTTCGTAACATAACGCAATATAACTAAACTGAAGACAAACTCTGAGAAATTATAACCCCGAAAAATAATTCTGTTAGTACCACTTATTGTATACACAATAACTGAATTTATTTGTCAAAATATTATTATAACTAAGACGTGGGCATAAAATAGTACAATCAATCGTTTAAGCTTATCGAAATTCAAATCGTTGATCGCCCTGACAGTATTTTTTTCCAAATGCGAATTCAAAACAATGACTCCCGTGTACAGATGAAAACAAAATTACCTCTATATGTACGGTGAATTATAAAAAGCAGCAATGTTTTTAATATTAGGAAAAGTATTTCCCGACAGTTTCGAACAACTGCGTTCAGAATTATACGCACGTAACTAACACTGAGTAACGAAATGTAATAATTTTGGGACAACATTAATATGAATTTTAATAATTTTATGAAACGTTCTAAAGAATAAATCGTATTACTATTTAAATGATTAACTAAAAGAGACCTAAATGACTACAGTCAATCTTATGTAAGTCGACTAATAGTCGTAACAATTACTCTTTTATTAAGAAAAATCGTTATTGGGACATTAAAAAAAGAGACATTTTATAAAAAAATCCCAATGCTATTTATTCTATGATTTGACGAAAATATTATTATTATTCATAAAAAAAATTACATCTATGTTGTCTTTAATCCTATTAAAGATAACATAGATGTAAACATGATTAAAAATATGTGCCATAATATTAAAATTTGAAATCTGCTATTAAAGTAGTGGGACAAAAAAAAGTGCCAAATGTACATTTTTTCTGATGACCCAATTACCTCATAAAAGTAGTATTAATAATTATATACGAGTACAGTAAAGTACTAACTATAAAAATTAAATCTTTGTGTTTTATTTCTTACCTCTCTCATGCCATGTGGAATAAGTTGGTATTATTATTAAATATTAGTGAATTATAAAATATTAGGGAATTAAGTAAAGGAGAGGTCATCTTAAATGGGAAGACCATGAGATGATATAGCAGCAATAGCCAACAGCACAAACAATTTAGAAAAACTTCTAACTTTGATTTTGGATCAAATACAAACTTAAATCAAACTATAATTCTATTACCTCAAAATTACCAAATATAACCATTCATTCATCAATGACGTTCAAATAGGACAAAAGAAAGTTTCAAATACTTAGGTAGCCGAATAACTCTGAATTCCAGATGTTCCCCAGACATAGTAGAGAGACTCGCAATCGCTAAAGAAGCCTATAACCGCATGAAATACCTGTTCAAGGCCAAGATCAGCACCGAAATAAGAAAACAGCCCGTCGAGACATATATGGAGTATTGCACTTTATGGGTGGGAAACGTTAACGCTTACCCTAAAACACAAAGACTAAGCAGCATTTGAAATGTTGTGCTGGAGGTGAATGATGAACATCAGTTGGATATGGAACTATTTGCGAATACCTGTGAATAGCTTCGTTGTTACTTTACTCGAATGTTTTACCTTGCGTTATTTGTGCTGTAGGTATTCCGAACAAAATAAAATAAAATAGAAAATATAACCAATGAAGAAGTCCTCCTAATGGCAAATCAAGAGACTCAATTGTCGAATGCATTTGAAAATAAAAGAGCCAAAATGGTTGGCCATTTGATAACATACTCGTACAACAACTTCTTTAGAATAATACTGGAATTAAAAATAGAAGGCAAGAGAAAACGAGGATGGCCAAGATCAACAAGTACAGATAGAAAGATACAGCAAGTAAAGGAGAAAGTGGGAGTCGTGGCCTATTAAGAGATCAAACCAATCACAGTAAATAGAAAGGAGTGGCGATTACTCCACCGATAAGGGCTTGGCTCTTAAATTGAGAGAGAATCATAAAAGATAAATACCTATCATTAAATCATTAAACAAGCTAATTGTTGAAAAAAAAACAAAATGTATACTTATATGTATTGTATCATCAACAGCCTATAACAGTTCACTGCTGGACATAGGCCTCTCCTTGGCAAAGAGGTATTTGCCCACTATACCACGCTGGCCAGACGGGATGGTATAGGGTTTGTTTCAAGTTTTCCTTCTCTTTGCAGTGCTGTTATCTTGCGTAGTTTGCTCCTTTAGTCGACTCTTACGACACCCACGGGATGAATAGGGGTGGTGACACTCTGTATTCTTAATCCGTCACCACTCGGATATACTTGTGTGAAAATGTACTCGTATACTTACAGCGCCTTGAAATGAATGCTTAGATGCTTAGTGAATGCTTAGATGAAATGCTTAGTTCAGAATTAAAAAAAAAAACTGAACTAAGCATTTCATAGCATAATCACATAATTTATCCTAATAATATAAAATAGTTGGAAATTAGAAATGAAATTTTCATATACACAGTGTTTAGTATATTACCTATATATTTATTTACGTTACACATTTTAATACCAAGATTATCTAAATTATAGCTTTGCACTTTTATGTTATCGATGTTATCAGCTATATTAAATTTAATGTTATGAGAAAAATTTGCATAGACATAATACACTTAATAATAAAAGTAAAGTGAAACCAAAAGCATCGTAGTCAAAACGCGCGTGCGCCTAGTTTATAATTAGACAAATATTTGAACGAAACCTTGGTGTTTGGATAAAGCTCAGCTTTGTTTCGAGGGCTTTTGTGGTGCTCCGGCGACAATCTGCAATGAGAGAGGACTATTACTGACTTATGAATTTCGAATGTGTCTCGCTAAGATTGCGTTCATTTTCTCTTTCATCTGCGCTTAGACTATCATTACCATACTTGTTTTGTCCGGGTGTCCATCCATCGTTTGCACTTAGCTTAGCTTAGCTTAAAAGGAAATTTTGATGTAAGTTTTGGACATGCGGGATTCGAACTAGTAACTAGTGTAAAATTACAAGATTGCTTCAACAGCAGTCCGATGTCTATAATGACCTCATAGACGAATGGCAACAACGCTGGGTTGAATCATCCAAGGGGCGCCATCTTTACCAATTCTTTCCATCTGTTCGCGAACGGTTGTCGAGGACATGGCTTGAGGTGGATCACTGTGTCGCTCAATTTCTTACGGGTCATGGTAACTTTAAGAGCAAGCTTTATTCATTTAAATTAGTCAAGTCACCATTGTGTCAATGCTCAACACCTAACTCTCACTATGAACAGTCTGCTCATCATATCCTCTGGGAATGTAGTAGTAGGGTAATCCCACCCACACGCCCACCACTGTAACTCCTGTACACCAGGATCCACAGCAGTGACCCACGAACACACCTAGTTATGACACTCGGGAAGTCCCAGGAAGGAATTAAAATGTCTTGGAACCCGCAACGAAATTAATCAGAAGAAAATTTGAGGAGTTGGAAATACACTAAATCCACTTTCCTCCTTAGCAAACGGGAGACAAAATGAAGTAAAATAGGCATACACCCTTTTAAACATGGAAGCACCACGGCCACAAAATATTACAGGTCCTAGGTGAGCTATATTTGATTTCTATAATACGAGTATGTATGGCAGAATCGCCTAAACGCACGGAAATCCACCCTAGTTGACACAAGATCCCCATAGTATACCGCCCCAGATGTCACTTGCAAGCTATTCAGCATTATAATTATTAAGTTCATGATACCAAAGACTACATTCCCAGAGGATATGATGAGCAGACTGTTCATAGTGAGAGTTAGGTGTTGAGCATTACTCGTGACGGCGCGCGGCAAGACGCACCACGAGGCAACCCTGAGGGCCACGGCCGGGGTTGCCCAAGTCGTTGAGCGTATCCGGCGGCTGGGTCTCGAGGTGGCTCTGCACAAGTCCGAGGCCCTGTTCTTCCACGGGCTTCGGAGGAAGCCGCCTGAGGGATCTAGCCTCACGGTAGGAGGCACTCGCATCGGCATCGAGCCCTCGATCAGGTATCTGGGGCTCGTACTCGATGGCCGATGGGACTTCGGAT